TTGGCATCGCTGCTCCCCCAAAAAGCTGCTGTGGAGGCGGCTGCTCCCTCCCCTGTGCAAGGGTGCCCTGTGCCATGGGGAGCTGCGGGGGTCTGCATCCTCCACCTGTATCCTCCACCTGCATCCTCCACCTGCATCCTTGTGCTCCATCCTCCACCTGCATCCTCCTCTGGCTCCTTCCTCTGCCTGCATCCCCCAGCTCCATCTTCCACCTGCATCCTCTGCCTGCATCCCCCAGCTCCATCCTCTGCCTGCATCCCCCAGCTCCATCCTCTGCCTGCATCCCCCAGCTCCATCCTCTGCCTGCATCCCCTGGCTCCATCCTCTGCCTGCATCCCCCGGCTCCATCCTCTGCCTGCATCCCCCGGCTCCATCCTCTGCCTGCATCCCCCAGCTCCATCCTCTGCCTGCATCCCCTGGCTCCATCCTCCGCCTGCATCCCCCGGCTCCATCCTCTGCCTGCATCCCCCGGCTCCATCCTCTGGCTCCATCCTCTGCCTGCATCCCCTGGCTCCATCCTCCACCTGCATCCTCTGCCTGCATCCCCCAGCTCCATCCTCCACCTGCATCCTCTGCCTGCATCCCCCAGCTCCATCCTCCACCTGCATCCCTGGCTCCATCCTCTGCCTGCATCCTCAGGCTCCATCCCCTGCCTGCATCCTCTGCCTGCATCCCCCAGCTTTATCTCCACCTGCATCCTCAGACTCCATCCTCTGCCTGCATCCCCCGGCTCTATCCTCCACCTGCATCCCCCAGCTCCATCCTCTGGCTCCATGCTCTGCCTGCATCCTCCAGCACAGCTCTACCTCTGCCAGCAGCTCCCCGAGGAGCCGACCCACTTTCAGCTGCAGCAGGGCAGGGAATGCCCAGTCCCACCGGCCCCGCAGCTCACTCCTGCCATCCCCTGTCTCCTCCTCCCCCCAGTCTTTGATGTTTAATGGAAGGAAATAAATGAAGTGCTCCTGTGCTTTGCTGCTGGAAAGCATCTGAGGGGCAGCACAGGATAATTTTGTGGTTTGAGACTGTGAAAATATAGTGGATACAAGCTGCAGCATCATCTGCCTCCCAGCCACCCGGCGCCGCCCACGCACCTCTCCCCGCAGACATTTGCTCTTTTGAACCCCCCCGGCTGAGACCACCACTAATTTATTTCATCAGTGTCAGCGTTTTGGCAGCGATGACACACACATTCTGAGCACCGGAGCCGACTGGATGGTCCATGTGATCCACCACATTTCGAAAAGGCTCGCCTGGGGATGAGGGGAAGTGGGGAGACGAGCGTGTGCCCCCCATCTCCTGAATAACACTCTAGATGAAGGGATGCCACCGTTAGGGGAGCTGAACTGAGTCAAGAGGCGCCAGACACATTAAAGCAGCCCTGATGGAACTTACTGGTACCTCACTGGAGGAAAAACGTTACTCACCCTCTCCAGGTCTTGCCTGAGGTGCATGAAGAGCTTTAAGCGTCGGTAGAGAACGTCCTGTTCTTGCTGGGCCAAGTTGTCCACCTCATCCGTTTTTGGTGTCAGCAGCGGTTTGTTGGAATTTGCTTTCCTCTTCAGCTTCCAGTACTGGTAGACAAAATCTACCAGTGATTCGCTTAAGTCAAGATTCTCTGCCACCTCCGAAGGCTTCACGAGTTCATAGAAGTCCTCCTCCAGCTGCTGGAGCTTCTGCTTCCTCAGCGTGACCTTCTCCAAGTCCAGCTGGGCTTGGTCGGGCTCTGTCCGTGCCTCCTCGGGCAACTTGGTGGCACCGGTGCTGTGCTCAAGGCAGAAGGACTTGAACTTCACTTCATCGTTGTCTGCTAGAATAGTCCGCATGTCCAGGTTGTGGTCAAAGGCGCAGGTGACGTGGAACGCGGTGACGCAGGCGGGCATGGAGCACTGCGGGGAGAAGAACAAGGCTTACTGCCAGGCCAAAGCATCATCAGTGGAGGAGCTGCTTAGCAACTGGACCAATAAGGCTTATGACAAAAGCTGTGACACCCATCTGAGTGATAACACCTACCACGAAGCAATGGATGCTCCACTACAGGCACTCCTTATGGAGGAACACCTGTATTGCCCAAGTCTTACCCATGAGCCAGACACCACAAACCCAAGCAGAAGAAACCCAAGGTTGACTAGATATCAGCGAGCACCTTCCCACCTTACCTGCTTTAACTCTTCTCCGTGATGAGCCCTGCTCATCTTTCAGCTACCATAAACGGGAGCTTCCAGAGGTTCTTCCAACAAGACATGTCAACGGCCACAGACAACAGCACAGGCCAACAAGATGCTCAAGACTGTCAATGGATTTCTCCTGATGGAGAAATTTTCACCTCTATTTCACCTTTAAACTCCTCCACTCTTACCACATCTAAAACTAATCTGCCATTTTTACTGAAAGCATAAGAATATGTCAAAGGTTATGAGTGAAGGTGGTTATCTCAGAAGCAGCCAACACTCCCAGAGCACGACGCCTTTCTCCTCTGGAAATTACACAGCCTCTAATAGCTCCATTAAAAAAGGAAAAAAAAAAGGCAGCTCAGCATATACAGAGCAAAACATCATGAAATGAACTTTTCAGAACTAGTACAGTGGCTAGGCTGTTGTCAAACTTGTACCAGATTAATTTTTTAACAATTTCCTTAACTTCCCTCATGCTTAAATTACTTTGGATCCCGCAGGCAACAAATCTCAGCCTGGTTTCCTACAGACAAATCTCTCCCCAGTCAGTGCTGCACCCATGTCCACGTGGGTACCTTCTCCCCCTCTACTCATTAACCGGTTTTTAATGGCTCAGAGTGTCAGGTAATTATTTCAACCATAACCCATAAGAAATCAAGTCTATTCCAGCTGCTAATGACCAGTTAAACTGCAATAATGAGACATTTTAAGTGGACTATTACAGTAGGCACCGTATTTCAGCATTTATAGAAGACTTGTTCTTGGAGGGGATGAAAATGCAGTTGTGGCCTGAAGGACCAGGCGGAGGCATGTGGAATTTCCTGGCTGTTGATGGCAAACCATTGGTGACGCTGCAGAGTTTTACTGGGGCTTTGCTGCACTTTAATTCTCAAAAAGAAAAAAAAATAGAAAAAAATATTCTGGTAGTAGTTGAGGAACAGGAGTTTTATGGCTTTTTATCTTCGTCCCATCAGCCCTGAATTCCTGCTCAATCACCCAGCGTGTGAACTTCTGACATTGCTGCTTTTAGATATTTTCCCTTGACTTTGTTTATGAATCCACTGGTGCTTCTGAAAGCGAAAGACTTGTTTTCTTGCCAGGGCCAAGAACAGCGGAGGCGAGCCGTGTCCAAGTCCTCTGCTTCCAGGCCCTGCTCCAAAGCCTCCGAAACCAGCGGGAAGAGCTGGGTGCAGCCCCCGCCACGGCTCCGGGCAGGGATGCTGGGCACTAACTCCTGCAGGCACCGAAAGCAAGCAGATTATTAATCCCTACCCCCTACTTACCCTCTTTAAATATGTCCTAATTCCAGCCTGAAATTGCTCGTGAAAATAGCTGCTAATGTGCAAAAATCAGAGGTGGGCAGTGGGTGCCTGTCCTGCCCATCCCATGGGACAAGTCCTGGCCCAGCCTCCCACAGGGCTCAAGCATCAGGTCTGTTCTCAATTATATATATCTGGTAACGAAGGAGGGACGGAGAGAGCCCAGACTGACTTAGAGCACCCAGATTTATTTGGTGCAGTCAGTATATCAGGCAGCAGGCACTCACTCCTGCAGCCACGGGGCAAGCATTAATAGAGGGAGATGGGATGCAATCCCAGGTTGGAGGCCTCTTCCAGCTGGAAATGCCCAGGGTTGAGCTTTTTCCTTTGGTAGCCAAGATGGAAATGGAGCTATGGAGCTCCTGATGTACTCCTGCAGTGCTCTTGACCTATTCCTGACGTGATCCATCCTGGCTGTTCTGCTATAAGCTGGGGGTGCTTCAAACTACAGCATCCTTTTTTGCTGTTATGCACCCAAATATCTAGGGAAAAGAAAATGGACACGGAGAACTTGCCGCTGTTGGTGAAACTACGTGAGCTAAGGAAAGCCACCCAGCGATGTCCCCTCCCTCCTGTGTCTGTCACCAGTGCTAATAAGGGCATCAGCAAAACGGCTGTGGCTCCTGCCAGGACAACGTCCCGCTCACAGGAACCACAACGATGGCTCCACTTTAGGAATAAAGCAAATCGAACGACACCCATCCTGGATCTCTCCTCCGACAGATGGCAAGCAGCACTAGTCAGAAACCATGCCCAAAATGCCAACAGAAAATAATTAGGCAGCTCGGCTGACAGGGCAACAAAGGAAGGTACCTGGTCGGCCATGGGTACCCAAGGACCTTGGCTAAACTGACAATAAGAACATATTGATCCATCCCAGAACGGGGCTGGATCTCCGAGGGAGGGAGGGAGGGATCTGCCACGCAGAATAAACCCAGCTCAAAAACCTGGCACAGTCCCCAAGTCTGCTTTCAGAACAGGGCTGGATCTCCGAGGGAGGGAGGGATGTGCCACGCAGAATAAACCCAGCTCAAAAACCTGGCACAGTCCCCAAGTCTGCTTCGTTATCCATCGTGCTTCATTATCTCACAGCACCTTTCGTTCATGGATTTCGGCACGCTTCGCTTATCCGGGCAAATCCATCCCCAAACACCGTTCCGAGAGAGAGAGGGTGAAAACTGCACCAGAGATTAACGTGAGCTGTTAATTAGTCCTCAAGCCACCCTTACTGGGAAGAAATAGAGGGATGGGTTTGTTTGCCAAGGAGTTTACCCAGTTTACAGAGCGGTTTGGGGCCGGAGGGGAAGGAAACGGCTCCTCCAACAGAACCGTGAGGGGAACTCAGGAAGGAAAAATTAATTACCGGTGCTGAACAACGGCCAAGCCATCAGCCACAACACTTCTGTGTCCTCACGAGAGCCACCGTGTGATTCCTAGTGACCACAGATGGTCTGGATCCTGGGAGCGCTGCTCAGCCGAAACAGGCAATTTCAGCATCGCGGGTGTCCTCAGAGGATGGAGGTGGAGGATGGTGTGGGGGCTGCATGGTGCACACACACTGCTCTTCCCCTGTCAAGCTGTACATTTTCTTGGCTCCAGGCACAATGGGACAACAGCTCCAGGAACCACCACACCAGTTATCCCAGTGGATGGGGACCAGTGGCACAAGCAGCTCAAGGGGAGCTGGCAGCGGCGGGGAAACAAATGAGTTGAGTGGTGGAAGATGCTCCCCAGGGCTTTTTGTCCAAAAAATAGCAACAAAAAGAAAGCTAGGAGACGATGACAGCAAAAGATCATGCCCTTTGGAGAAGCCTGCCAGCAGCTAACGGAGACCTGGCATTTAGCTCTGCGTTGAAAGGCCTTGGTGAGCTCTTCCAGGGGCTTGGACCAGCGAGGAGGGAGATGGTGAGGAGGGAGAAGGGTCCCAAGGAACCGTGGCCAGGACTTGGGCTATGCTGGAGCTCAGCTCCTGGCGCTCTCTTTCCCATCTCAGCAACTCAAGCGAGAAAATTGCTGCTGGATGCTGAGCTCTCTTTGGCATCTCCTGATGTCTGACCACAAGAACCACCATGAAGTCATGATTTCCCCTTAAAGGAGCTGGGGAAAGTGTTCTTCTGGGGCTGCATCCCTGCCCAGGCTCCGGGAGCTCCAGCTCCACTACGGACACGGAGAGTGACGGTGGGTTCACAGCTTGTACCAGAAAAGCAAGGTCAGAGGCACAGAGAGCAGGGGGAGCCCTTCCTGAGGCTTCCCTGGGTTTATTTCCCATTTGATGGTCAAATTTGGAGGGGGAAAAATGCCCCGGTGGTCAAGGTGGGTGTTTTTTCAAGCGGCAGTGCTGCCTCTGAGTGTCCCCATGTCCCTCTGGGATGACTGTCTTCTGCTCCTCCAGCTTGTCTTCCAGATTTCACCTCCCCTTTCAACAAAGCCCAGTTCTAACCAGTCACTTGGAAAACACCTTCCTGGAAGCAACACCCCTCCTTCCCCAGACCTGCCCCACCTGGAGCACCTGAGTCCCACTGCCAAGGATAAAAGCTCAGCTCTTTAACAGAGAACAACCTCTTCTTTTCAGAGCTGGGTCACAAACCCAAAACGCCGACAAAAGTAAAGATTATAACAGGGAGTAATCAAAAATGTGCTCCATAAACATAAGCTTTCAAAACAGAGCTGTACCACGGACGAGTACGGAGCGTGTTTATTTATTTATCTGTAGGTGAACTCGCCGATTTACCCCATAAATCCTTAAATAAAGGCACTGACTGCTTTTATTTATTTTTTTCTTTTCCCCTTCTCCCCCTTTTCCTTGAAGCAAAACCATCCTGATTGGGCTAAGGTGGCCTCACCAAACGCTCGGGTGACAATCTTGTGGGGACTTATAATCCACGAGCTGCCGGCACAGGAGACAATAAAGCTCCTGCTCCATCTCAGGTGACCTTTCATGCAAATTCATTCAGTCCCAGGGATCTCACGGCTCCCGTGCCACGCTGGCGCTAAGAGGATGAAGCCTCAGAGAAGCTGAATTCTTTTTTTTTTTTTTTTTGATGCTGCCAAGCCTGTTTGCCTCCTTCCCTGCCCTTCCGTTCTTTGAAAGCAGTTGCCGTTATGACACAGTATCTCCATCTGGCAGGGTGAATAAGCAGATCCACCCAGAGCCATCAAAAAAGAAGTGAGTCAATGCTAGATTTCATTTCAAGCTAAGGGGATTGCTTTTAAATAGCTCCCTTTAAAGCATTAAACCCAAGGCCGTCGCACAAACGCAGCGGAACCTGCAGACCTCCTATTCCTATCTCCTTTCTCCAACCAGCCAGCTATTTGGAGATTTAAAGAAGTATTGTGAGCTTTCGTTTCAAGCTAAGGGGATTGCTTTTAAATAGCTCCCTTTAAAGCATTAAACCCAAGGCCGTCGCACAAACGCAGCGGAACCTGCAGACCTCCTATTCCTATCTCCTTTCTCCAACCAGCCAGCTATTTTTGGGCCCCAATAGTCGCTGCTGCCTACACCGACCTTCGAGGTGCAGCTCCTGCTGCTGTAGAGGGGCTGATCAGTCAGGATTGATGCACATCCAAAACTTTCTCCCAGTTTTTCAAAGCTTAATGGCTATTCCAGCCCCCTCTGCGTGCCAAGGATGCTTCCCCTGGGCTGGGGGATTGGGCTGCAGCAGCTCCCCCAACCCATCACCAGGGACCACCAGGACATCACACCGGCAGGGAACGGGGAATCATCGGATGCAGACGAGCAGCAAAGCTCCCCAGATGCTCTCACGCTGAGCAGGCTGCCTTTTGGACAGGAGCTTCTGCTCTTTGCTCTTCAGGAAGAGACACTACCCCACTTTTGTAACAGGAAAGCCCACAGTGTCCTGTTTTTTTAGTGTGAAATGAGAACATCTCGCCCCCTCGTTAGCACCCTGCTGTGGGGCAAGCAGGCAGTGAGATGTCTGTAGTGGTTTGCTCAGGTGTGGAGAAAATGTGGCAATGTAATACATGGTAAATCTGTTTTCCAAGCCAGCAGGCTAGTGAGGACTACCTAATCCCAGGGTTTCCTGATATTCCCCCAACTGAAGGGCTTCCCAGCCAACCCCCACTGGTTTGTGAAATCCCTGGGCTATGTATCCCACGGGGACCTCACTTTCCTGGCAGCTACGCCAAGCCTTTCTGCTGGAGGTTCCTGATTTCAAACCAAGGTCGTTTGCAGTCCCGGTAATTAGTGTCACTACAGCAACATCATCCTGTTATGCAAAGAAAGTTAATCTGGATTCCTAGCACTCCATACATTAAATGATTGCAAACAACATCTGATGATGTCTGACAGGAGCTCATGCTCCCTGTCTTAGGTTTACTCAGAGCAGGAATAAGCCTTGGTTGGATTGTGCCCACCAACCTCTCAGGAATCTCCAGTGGCTACTACAGGCACAACCCCAGAGGTCTAAGTTTCTTCGGTGCCACCGTTACGTACCTGAATACACGTCCCAGTGCACTCCTTGCAGAGGCTGCAGGACAAAGCCCATCTGCTTGCTGGGATATGTGAGATCTTCGTAATGGGTTCCATTTTTTCAGGACATCCAATGCTAACCTGGTCACGAAACAGAAGACAAGTTGTAAATAGTGGTTACCAGCCCAAATCTTCTACAGAGGGATGTCTGTAGCAGTCTGAATTTGTTATTTTTCAGGGCAACATCCTGAGATGTTCAACCTTGAGACTTGAAACCAGGCCCGTGCCCACCCGCGTGTCAAGAGAAGGTTGGAAAAACATCTTACTTCAGGTATCCATAAGGCACAGCTAACGTGGACCCATTTCGTCCCGCTCCGGGTGGGCTTCAGCGCTCCTCCTCTCTTGGGGCACAGTAGACACTTTGGCTGGACCCCGAGGGCACAGGTCCGGCAGAGCCAGCTCCCGATGGGGACCTTCAGGATGCCGTAGCACGCCTGCGCAGACAGGAGGAAGGCAAGTTAGTCCCAGCATCCTGGGAAGAGCATCCTCCAGGGCCTCCTCCTTCACTCACACCTTTTTCACTCCTGTTGGCTTATGGCCACCACATCTGGGCATCCTAATGACAACCAGATGTAAAGCAGCTCCACGATCACAGGCAGCGAGGTTAGGTTCTTCCTTCCATGCTTCCTTCCCTATTTTCACATGTATACTCATACATATCCAGATGTCCTGGGTTTTAATTAAAAACTAAGTCTAGAAACATGCTGTGTATCACGCCAAGCATCCACCTGGCTCCAGGTCGGTGAGAGGGGGGGCAACCAGGCTGCTCCATCAGAACCCCACCACCAGTGGGCATCTACCCACTCATCTCCTGCCTGTTCCTGAAGAGCTACCAGAACCAGAATGACTCAGAGAAGTAAGAAAAGCCATGGGGAGAAAACCTCTTGAGGTATCTGAGGGCTGAAAAGCCACAACCCCATGATTGAGAAAGATGGGCCACACTGGTTACACACCCAACCCAGCCTGAAGGGGAAGCGAAAATAACTACGGAAAAGTAGAAAAGGAAACCAATAGTCATGACCATAAATGAGAAGGGAGAAACCATAAAGGACAGCAAATCTAAAGGATGATAAATCGAAAGGAGGGAAGGACTTTGATGGGTGGACTGCTTGGTGGATAAGGAATTGGTTGGATAGTCACATCCAGAGGGCAGCAGGAACCTGGACAAGCTGGAGAGGTGGTCATGGCATGAGGTTCACAAGGCCAAGTTCAGAGTCCTGCACCTGAGTAGGGGCAACCCCCGGTATCAATAGAGGCGGCGGATGAAGGGATGGAGAGCAGCCCTGAGAGAAGAATATGGAGGTGTTGGTGGATGAGAGGCTCAACATGCCCTGGCAATGTGTCTTGGCAGCCCAGAAAGTCCCCCACGCCCTGGGCTGCATCCCCAGCCCCATGACCAGCAGGGCAAGGAGGGGATTCTGCCCCTCTGCCTCCAGCTCTGGGGCCACCAACAGCAGAAGGACATGGACCTGCTGGAGCGGGACCAGAGGATGCCACAGAGATACTGGAAGGGCTGGAGCCCCTCTGCTGGAAGGGGGGGCTGAGAGAGTTGGAGGGGTTCAGCCTGGAGAAGAGAAGGCTCCAGGGGAAACCTTGGAGCCCCTTCCAGTCAAACTATTCTATGATTTTGTGATTCTAAGGACAAACCTATGGCCATGAGAGTGAGAGCTAAAGGACTTGGGTAACCCACGGAGCTCCCCGCCCTCCTGTGATAGCACAGGATGCAGAGAAGCCGAAGTGTTTCATAAATATTTCTCTTCCACACTTGGGGGAGAACCAAATGATAAGCCCTATCACATAATGACGACGATAAAATACTTTCCACTCCGGCTGTAACTTCTGGCTGTATTAAACAGCTACTACCAGAACTAGACAGTTTTTAACCATCAGGTCCCGATAACTCGCCCTTAAAGGCTTTTTCAGAGAGCGACAGACAACTGTGCTGGGCGCCGACGCGGGGCTGTGTCACTGTTTTCAGCCAGGAGATGGAATTAATTCTAGATGCCCCAACATCCCTCCAGAAGGCAGAGAGGCAGTGCTGATAAGGACCCCCAGCACTGCCGGCTGGAAATTCAGCCCAGGCATTTGTCAACTTCACTTCCTTGGAAGCTTACCCCCTAAAAAACCCAGCTTTTCACCCTGCTGATGCAGGGATGCAGGTCACCATCACCACCACGAGTGACAGCACTGCAGGTGGGGATGGGGCAGAGGGGGCACGAGGGGACGGGTGAGTGTGGGAAATGTCTATCTTCAATCTTTCCTGGCCAAGAAGAGAGTTCATAACGTGGCTTTAGGTCGCCCCGAAGCACAAATTGACTCTGACAGTCATTTCCAAGGGGAAAAAGCCACTTCGTGAACAGATTATTGGGATAATAAGGAATTAAGGGAGGTAATATCATTGCTGCGAGTCTACATGGTTCAGAGAGACTTAACTGTGTGTTCCACAGCGCCTCCAAATCTGACAGATAAATCATTTCTGTAACGGAGTTTTATAAAACATCTGATTTAGCACCAGACAAAAACCAGCCTGGTATGTACAGGAGAATAAACTGGAGGACTGATCTCAAAATCCAGGGGAAAACAGGAATTATGACCAGGTGAGCATCTCTCGCAGAGTCTCGCCTCTCAGTTATTTATTCCTAGAGGTTGTGGAGCAGCTGAAGGTGCAATTCTGCTCTGAGGAGCTCTGTCCCAGACAAGGAGAGGCTCTGGAAATGAGGTGGGTTATCAGCTAAATGCTCTCCTGGTCCAACACCAGCCAGAAGGTGCTCCAGGAACATGGAGCCAAAGCAATGCTGAGTAGGAGCAGAGCAGCTATTTTTATCGCTGCGCCTGTCACGGGTGCAACGTCACGGAGAAAGGGATGCCAAAAACCACGGGGAGGATGCTGAGCCACAGGAAAGCTCGGTGTGGTCCATGAAACAGCAGGAATGGGGACTCGGTAATGACAGGACCACGGGGCGGTGGCTGGAAGCTGGAGATGGCTCATCCCCGTGCTAAAGAGTAGTGAGAAGTTGCTCCCATGAGAAGATTCCCCCTCGCTGAATATTTTAAAATTAAGACTGCACGTGTTTTCCAAAAGCTGCACTTCATAGGAATTAATTAATAGCAAGCCTCGTGGCTTGGTGTTATGCAGATGAGATGATTACAACGATCCCTTCCAGCACCGTAACCCACACCGAGGTGTGTCTGAGCACAGCCCTGCCTCTGCCCCTTCCCCTGGGATGCAGGAGGATGAGGCATCGCTCTGGCCGTGTCCTGCTGCACCCCAGCTCCTCCCTGCTGCTGCCTGAATCCATGAAGCCCATGGCATCAGCACCCAGATGCCCACAGGAAAGCACCATCCCCAACAAGTTTTGGATGTGGGGCCAGCAAGAGGACGGGGTGACGTGATGCCACGTAACACCCCACGCTGTGGCTCTGGCCTTTGCGGCTTAGGGCGTAAATCAGGGCAGAGATTTAAATCACAGGCAGCTTAAGGGCTGCCCTCGGGCTTAGGGCTGGACTCTGAGCCCTGAAAACAACAGAAAATTGCCCTTTTCTTTCAACATCGCTCTGGCCGTGTCCTGCTGCACCCCAGCTCCTCCCTGCTGCTGCCTGAATCCATGAAGCCCATGGCATCAGCACCCAGATGCCCACAGGAAAGCACCATCCCCAACAAGTTTTGGATGTGGGGCCAGCAAGAGGACGGGGTGACGTGATGCCACGTAACACCCCACGCTGTGGCTCTGGCCTTTGCGGCTTAGGGCGTAAATCAGGGCAGAGATTTAAATCACAGGCAGCTTAAGGGCTGCCCTCGGGCTTAGGGCTGGACTCTGAGCCCTGAAAACAACAGAAAATTGCCCTTTTCTTTCAACAGCCCTGAAATCCAGCACACCACATCCCCCTCTGGAACACCACTCTCCTCCCAGCACGGGGGATGTCGCCGAAAGCAGAGCCCATGGGGTCCCACAGGGTCCCACAGCCCATGGTGGGCATGGTCCCTATGTCCCCACCACAGTCCCCTATACTGACCACCTCCTTGAGCACCTGCCCATCAGCACGTGTCAGCTCACGGTCTGACATTGCCACTTGGGCTTGGTAAAAAAAACCCACAAAACCCAACACACACACCCCCCCCAAAAAAAAACCCAACTCCAACCCTGGATCTGATTCACTGATGGAAACCATTCAAAACACCCACCTCCCGCAACTATAGATATCTCCAACGCTCTCCCACCTCCAGGAAGCGCTGATGGAAAAGCTGCCCAGAAGATGAGCAAATGGCTCGCTTCAGAGGGAAAAAAAACCAAACTCAAAACCCCTTTGTCACACAGAGAGTGAAACCCAGGAGCTGCCATCACCGTCCCAGCACCGCACGGCGCTTCCCCTGAAAGCACAACCAGCAAAACCTCCCTGGACCCACATGGGACTCGGGGAGACCCTCACAGAGCTGCCTTCTCCTTGTCAAGGTTTCCCCAAGCACAGGAGCCCACAGAGCTCCCCTTCTCAAGGGCTTGGAGCATTTGCATTCACTTCTAAAAATAAAATTATTTTCCCCCAGGCAGCAAAATAAACTGCAATCCTACACTGGTGCAGCAGGGAAGCTGGGACAGACACCCTGCCAGGCGAGACAGTTGCTAGGGGAGCTGGGAAGGTCCTGCTACCCCCAGTATAAGGCTGTGGAGGACACTGGAGGTCTGGGCAAAGCCCACCCCACCGGTGAGCGCAGGGCTGCAGACCCACATCCCTCCCAGCCCACCAGCCAGTCCCACACACTGTGCTGGTCACCCCTGGGTGCTACAGGTCCCAAGGCTGCAGTCTAATAAAGAAAGGTGGGGTAAAGAATTAAGAATAAGCACATTAACAGAAGAGGAGGCATAAAATATCAGGCAGACCAGAGAATAAGGAGGAGGGGGCAAAGTAAGCTCAGAGAAGGTGGTTTTCAACCTCTGGTAGAGTATTTTGTGGGGCTAAGAAAGTAAGAAAAAGAAGTTTGCCACCTGCCAGCTACCCAAAACCCCATTTTCTATCCTCGCTCCACCGGAGACGCGCTGGGAAACCTTCAGAAAAGCTTAACTGGGGGGTCTACAGCAGCCCAGGGGATGGTGGGGACGGGAGGAGGGCATGGACCACAGTGTGACCAGCCCAAACCTGCCCCCATTCCCCCCCTCCACGGCCGGGGCTCACCTGGTGCACGCAGACGTTGCACTTGTCACAGAAGACCATCTCGTTGCCGTCCTCCCCCTCCGGCGAGCGGCAGACGTCGCACACCACGTCCTCGTCGTACTCGATGCCCAAACCCTCCTCCGTTTCGATGGCGATGTTCATGTTCTCGTAGCACATGGTCTCCAGCTCCTCCAGCACTCGCTCCAGGGTGATCTCATCCAGCTCGGGCTTTTCTGCAAGGCAGAGAGAGGGGAAAACTGAAGGGAGCCCATCCGACCTCAGGGCAACGTTTTGCCAAGGGCTGAGGACTTTCAGATGGCAAAATCCAGGGCGAGGGTACGAGCGGCGACTCAGGACACGGCTGCTTCCCCCCTCCAGCTCGGGATGCAGTTTGTGTTTCATCGACAGTAACAAAATATTGCTGCTGGCTGAGAGGAAAGAGACCCATTCAGCTGAAGCAACGCGGATAATTGGCTCTGACAGTTTAAATGTTCAAGGAGACAAGTTTTGCAAAGACGCTTTCCGCAGCGAGGGCTCGGACGAGCTTTGGCAAACGCAAAGTCAACGCTTTAATTGTTAAGGCTGGAAATTGACCCTTTTAAAGCCAATTAAATGGAACTCTAAAAGTGAAGCCAAATGCTGAAATTGAGGACAAATAAAGTTGGTTTTTTTTTTCCCCTCCAGTTGGGTTTAGTGGAATCAGAAGGTCAGACACCGCCGCATCGTGCTTTATTCCCCCAGTACCAGGACGAGGTGCTTTGCCAGAGGTTTCTCCAGAGGGACAACCAGGAATATAAGTCCAATAACCAGTAAAAGGCTTCTTCAGAGCAGCAACCTCCAGCAGCAGGACACCCGGCCACCTTCATGGGGAGGATGCTGCTGCCAGGAGCTCGGCAGCACCGAAACGGTGCCACCCTTGAGGGCTGCTCCCAAAGGTGCCTCTCGCCCGCACACCAAGATCCTGGTACCATAATCACAACGTGAGATCACTCCAGGTAAGGAAAAAGAAAAAAAAAAGGGAAAAAAAGTCCACCAGGAATGAGGTTCTCCGTGAGGGGCGGGAGGCAGAGTTAAGCCCCCACCACACCCCGTCTCCCTGTGAGCACTACTGCGTCACCAGGGAAGGCACGGGGATGGAGATACCTGCAGGATGCAATAAAAAACATTTAATCTTTGCATTTATTTGTGTATATTATCCGTGATGATGGCCAGAAAGCACCAGAGAGCAGAGGAGCCTGCCCTGCGCTGCCGAGCACCTTTCTTCTTGCACGGCAACGGGAGAAAAAAAAAATATCACAGAATCACAGAATCTTCTAGGTTGGAAGGGACCTTAAAGATCATCTTGTCCAACCGTCAACCTAACTGACAAAAAATAGACACCCGCACAACAAACAAGAAGCATCACCATCACTAAGCGCAGCACTACATCAACCTGTCTTTTGAACACCTCCAGGGATGGTGCCTCCACCACCTCCCTGGGCAGCCCATTCCAACGTCTGATAACCCTTTCGGTGAAAAAATTTTTCCTAATATCCAGCCTGAACCTCCCCTGGCGCAACTTGAGGCCATTTCCTCTCGTCCTGTTGCCTGTGACTTGAGAGAAGAGACCGACCCCCACCTCTCTACACCCTCCTTTCGGGTAGTTGTAGAGAGCAATAAGGTCTATCTCATTTACGAGCAAAAAAAAAGTGGGGAAAAAAAGGCTTGAGGAAGTACTAATATGAAGTAGTTACTATTTATTTAAATTTGCCACCCTGGGCATCTCTCAAGCCGGAATGTGACATCCCTGTCCCAGGACCCCCAGCACTGGGGAGGGATGGGACACAGGGCAGTGTTCCCAGCCCCTCCAGCTGGATGATGCCGACAGAGGCTGCACCTTCCCCCCGACGGCCACAGACGGGTTGAAAAACTCTGTCAAGGGGGAAGGCAACCCGTGGGCGAGCTCGGCAAGCACCCGCACCATTGTCTGCCTTTTCAAGCTCTTCCCCGCCGTTTCGCATTGGCAGGGTTTCCTTTGGCTTGACAAGTCTCTGCAAACATCTAGCCTGGCATTTTTACATGTCTGTGTCGAGTCTGAGATACCATCTCAGCCAGACAACACTCTTCCCTATCGCAGCCCTTTCAAGCGCCGGGGCTGCTGTGCCGCAACACGCCGAGGAACCCCAACGGACCTGTATTTTTTTTTTTTATTACTGAGCAGCCCCAGCAACGGGCACGGGATCCGTGTGGAGCCCCAGGCTGGCACCGGGGCCATGTGAAGCATCCCATGCTGACACGGAGAGCCCCGGGGCCGGGATGGAGCCCATGGCCAGCTCTTGGCATCGTGCCGGTCGGACGCAATGGGGCAGGGAGTGGGTTACAGGCAAAGCCAGAGCATTATTTTTGCCTTAATTAATGGTGTCCCTTTATAAACACACCACCTGGGCTGCTCTTGCTCCACAAAGAGCCATAAGCCATGACTTCATATGAGCGTTAAACAAGCCCAGCAAGAACATTCTGCTCTTGGTCAGTGTTTCAACTCCCCATCCGTGACCACCATCCCGGGCACCCGAGTGTCAGCCTGGAGTTATTCCCTTTCTCCCAACATTTCAGGCCCTGCTCTCTCTGCTCTCCTGGAAAGCAGAAGCCCCGGAGATGCTGGAAGGGCTGGAGCCCCTCTGCTGGGAGGGGGGGCTGAGAGAGTTGGGGGGGTTCAGCCTGGAGAAGAGAAGGCTCCGGGGAGACCTTGGAGCCCCTTCCAGTCCCTCAAGGGGCTCCAGGAGAGATGGGGAGGGACTCTGGATGAGGGAGGGGAGCCCTAGGAGGAGGGGGAAGGGTTTGACACTGAAAGAGCAGAGATTTAGATGAGCTATTAGGATGAGATATTTAGATGAGATATTGGTGTGAGGGTGGTGAGAGCCTGGCCCAGGTTGCCCAGAGAAGCTGTGGCTGCCCCATCCCTGGAGGGGTTCAAGGCCAGGTTGGAGGGGGGTTGAACAACTTGGTTTAGTGGGAGGTCTAGGGGGGTGGGACTGGATTGTCTTTAAGGTCCCTTCCAACCCAAACCATTCTGTGATTCTGAGAAAATGATCACTAAAGCGTTCCTGGTGATTTTCCCCCCACACTTACTAGAGCGGCCCCGTGCTGGGGGCAGGCAGAGCCGGCAGCTGCAGGCAGTGCCAGGAAGGAAAGGGAGGGGGGGTTTGGGATCATGGGAATCATGGGAACCACAGGAATCATGACCCTGACCTGCCCGCAGGGTCGGGATGGCGCTGGCATCGTCACCGTTCCCATTTCACCTCCAGTGGAAAGACCTGGCTCCCATCCCACCTCCTGTGATCCATCCCCAGTGATGCCCCGGCACCACGTAACCCCGGGGAGAAAGTCCTTGTTGATCCCTAAACTCTTCCCTCGGAGCAAGACCAGCCCTTCCCTGGGGTTTCCTTATCAGCCCACGTGCCATGAGGTCGTTATATTGCTACCTCAAAAAATAGAGATCTCCCCCTCCCTCCTGCACACACACACACACACACACACACACGCTCTCACACTCCATTTAGATGTAATTACATTAGGAATTTGTTTGCCAAGCGCCATTCAGAATACCTCGGAGCTTATTGAATTGACAATTGCACTTGATGGGGATGAAGCGATTAATCGCTTATGAAACACTAAACAATGGGGCCTGGGGGTGAAGTGCTTTTTCCATTTGTGCTCCATTTATCTCCTCCTGCATCACGTAAAGTTCATGCTACTAAACTCCATTCATAAAATTGTCATCTTTTGGGCTGCGAAAAAGCTATCCGTATCGGTCGTGGCCAGCTAAATAGCAAAACCAAAAATACTCCACCAAAACACTCCCTGTGTACACACAAGGGACACCACTACTCTCCCCAGGGAAGGAAGTGCAAAGACCCAGATACTCATCTTGGGTACAACGAAGAAATCCATCAACATCCAAGGACTGAGTCACATTTGAGCCCATCACCAGGACTGTGGGCTCTACCCATCCCCTTGGTCAGTTGGGGTAAAATGTCCTGTCTGTGTCCCCTCCCAACTTTTTGTGTCTCCTCCAGTCTACTCGCTGGTGGAGGAGCAGAAAAGGCCTTGACTGCTCAACAACAACCAAAACCAGCGGTGTGCCATCAGTGCCGTTCTCATCCCAAACCTAAAACAAAGCCCCACACCAGCTACTAGCAAGAAAGTCAACTCTATCCCAGTTGAAACCATCTCATTCTCCACCCTGTATTCCGTACCACTTCCATCATGCTCAGGTCCCACGTTATCCACTAATCACCACCACCACCCTTCCCATCCTTTGCTAGAATACACAGGTATCATTCCCTTAGTCTATGGACAACCCCTGTGGAATATCTGTAAAATGCCTGTAAATGTCCATAAATGTCTACAAATGTCCACAAATTGTCCACTGAGTTAATTTAGTCCATGACTTTGGATTGAGACACTAGCCCAGGTTGCCCAGAGAAGCTGTGGCTGCCCCATCCCGGGAGGGAGAGGGCAGGTTGGGGGGGGCTTGGAGCAACCTGGTCTGGTGGGAGGTCTCCCTGCCCAGGGCAGAGTGGTGGCACTGGATGATCTTTAAGGTCCCTTCCCACCCAAACCATTCCACGGTTCTACGACCTTGTGCTCCATCTGTTATGGCGGTGACTCAGGACAGGAGAAGTGGTGCTTTGTGTGGAGTTACTGGACTCCAAAACCAGCTTAGGTGAGGTCACTGCTGCCCTTGCACTGCTTCTTGTAAGGCTTGTCCTCCACTGGTTCCTGCTCTAGCAATTCCCATAACATGCAACACAAATCCCTGGGAGCAGCCTCCCACCCCATCCCAGCCGGAGAAGATCCTCTCCCATCCCAGAGCAAGGAGCTGGCGGGCAGCACGTACCCAAAGGAAGCATCCCCCGGAGCAGAGGGGGGACTTTGCTTTGGAAATGGAGGAAGAGAAGAGATGCCAGACGATGATGCACTACAGGAGGTCTCCAGATCTGATTCGGGAAGGGGAAACGTGTAGGAACCCGGCCTTTCTTTTGAATTTTGCTCCCAGCAGAAAACTCTTCCCCGTATCTCTGCCACTGGGATCTGCCACCATCCCAACAGCCACCCAGTATCCCTGCTATCCCCGGGGGGCTCCCGAGGCGCCCACCCTGACCCCACACACCTCAGCTCCCCCAAACTGCCCGTACCGCGGCCGAAACACAGAATTTATACATATTTTAACCCAAATTGAGCTGGGCTGGCA